GAGCAACAGAAACCATGGGGGAAGGGAGACAGCAGTCAGTGTTAGGTATGAAAATATTTAATAATTTATCAAGGGGGGTAAGGAGCTGATACCAAGGGCTCAAATAGAAAGTAAATGTTTATAAACTAATGAGGGAAACATATGTACAAATATGCTTGATACAATTGATGTATGGATTGTTATAAGAGCTGTAAGAGCCCCCAATAAAAGGATCTTTTTAAAAAAATTTTTTTTAATTAAATGACATACTTACTGCATTGGGCAAATTAGTTGCACAAGACCTTTAAAATCTGAAAGAGCAAAGATGTCCCTTTGAGGACAAGGCGCTCGTGACCCCAGCCACCGTGCTTCCATCACTGCGTGTGCATGTGAGAGCTGGTCAGCAAAGAAGAGGAACAGAAGAACTGGTGCGTTAAACAATGGTGTTGAGAATAATGTTGAAATTACCACCGACTCCAGAAGGACAAACCAGTCGAGCGCTGCAGAAGTATAGCTACAACGCTTCTTAAAGGCAAGGATGTTGAGACGTCATCTCACATACTTGTGACGTGTTATCAGGAGGGACCGGTCTCTGGGAAAGACATCGTGCTTGGCAGAGTCAGCGAAAACGAGGAGGGCAGCTCCAAAGAGGCAGACGGCTCGCCACAGTAGTTGCATCCATGGGCTCAACCGTAACAGCAATTATGAGGCTGGTGCAGGCCAAGTCCATCTTCGTGCTGAACCTGGCATCGACTTCTTAATTATGCATATTGTACCTTTCGGTCTTAGGATGTCCTTTTGATTTTTAAAAATAGATTTAAGTCTAGTTCTTTGGTAAAAACCTTCGTCCTTTCATTGACTTTGATTTTTGTAATTTGCTCAGTTTTTTCTAGTTGTCAGCAGGAGTATTGACCTGATTCATCTTCCTACTTCTTGCTTGAAAGCAGAACCTGTGTGATTTTTTTTTTTTTTTTTTTGCGTGCTCACCATGTGCCAGCTGCTCATTTAGGTTCTTGGTGCAGGACTGTCTTTGCCAAGGACCCGTCTAAAGTAGGGAAGACATGCACCAGTAGTTGAGTGTGCGAAATATCTGGTCTCTGCAGAACAGACACCCCAAATATTGAGGTCTGTGCGGTGGTAGGGCAAAGGCAGCAAAGGCGAAATAGCAGCACCTACTTAGAAAGCTGCAGGTTTTGTGATGTTACATGGTTACAGTTTAGTGTTCAAGAGGCGGAACAGTGAGAGATGATGGGCATGGTACAATGTGTTTGAACTTCTGGCCAGTTACAGGGGGCATCTGAAAAATTTTAAGGATGAAGAAGAGTAATCAAATTTGTGTTTTAGAAAGATTTTGTGTCTGTGTGAAATATTGGTTAGCTCCCAGCCAAGGGCCCAGGGAGGAAACTGTTGGCCCGGCATTAAATAGATGATGATGGTCAGTCGATTTGAAAGAGGGGGAGGGTAGAACTGATGAAATCTGTGGCATGAAGAGGGAGGGGAGAAGCGCCAGGATTCTAGGGTTTCTGGGCTGCATGAGGACTGGGTGGACAGTGGTGCCAGTCACCAAGGGAGTCAAGTTGAAAAAGCAGATGAGTTCCCTTTGGGACATCCTGTGCAGTCCCCTTTGCTAGCCTTGTGACAGCTCCACAGTTTGAGAACCTCTACGCAGGGGGGCCCAGGGTGTCTGCTGGAAACTCCAGAGGTGGATAAGAAAGACCCTTGTCTTGATCCCAGCTTGATCGAGAGGCATTCTGATCTTACCTCTTTCAAAACGTGCTGGAGAAATGAAAGGGAATAGAATTTTCCCCTGAACTGTGGAAGCACCTTTATATTGGGTTTTCACTTCATTTCTTTCTTTAAGAGAGTTTTCCATGGCTGAAAGAAGAAAGCGTTCCTTGCCAATGTTTCCTTTCTTGGGTGTCTGTCTTGAGTCACTTGTCTGGACAGTACTTTCTTGAGTCTCTTCCTCTGGGAGCATGTGCAGGGGATGCTCCTGCGGATCATTGCATATTGTCCTTTCAGTCTGGCAGGGGTATAGGATTTGGGAGCTACAGGTCTGGATTGGGAGTCAGTAGATGCTATTCCATTGTCTTATAGGGTCCATTGTTGTAAGCAAGAAGTCCAGTTCATTTATTCACTGTTTCTCCTAAAAAGGCATGTAGGACTTTTTCTTTTTAGAGTTGAGGGATTTTATCAATATATGGCAAAGGTGTGTATCCTTAAATCTTTTCAATCCCCAGATAAACCTTCCTGCAGCTCAAACTCACTGCCATCCAGTCAGTGCTGACTCATAGTAACCCTATAGGGCAAGGTTGAACTGCCCTTGTGGGTTTCCAAGACTGTCAATCTTTACAGGAGTAGAAAGCCTCATCTTTCCCTTGCAGAGCAGCTGGTGGGTTTGAACTACTAACTTTGAAGTTAGTAGCCCAATGTATAACCCACCCACTACGCCACCAGGGTTCCTCTCCTGTAGCTCAGGGCATTGTTTTACAGTTAATTTATTGGTTCCACCTCTTCCACATGTCTGTTTTTCTCCTCCCAGAATCCCCAGTTCTTTACATGTTAGTTAGCTCTGCCCTCCAACTCTCCCAATCTCCATCCTTTTGAGTTCCTGCTTAAAGCTAAGGTCGCCCTATTTGACCTTCCAGACCACTGACTGGTTCTCAGGAGTCTCCTTTCCCTTTTGTTTCATTAATAGTGCTCTCTTTGGGGTGGAAAATCATGTTTTTAATTTGAAGAACAATCTTGTGCATTGTCATTGGACTTTTTTTTTTTTTTTGTCTTTTTCCCCCCATCAGTTCAGCTTTTTGTCTGTCTCATGGAGTAGCTTTGTTCCTCTAAGAGGCACCATCTCAGGAGTCCCTCTTAGAGGAGTGCTCCGTGGGCATTTCCTCCTTCTGACTGCTCCCCCAGGCTGTGGGTATTTTCCTTTCGACCAACTGTGTCACTGGTCCATGACTACGCTCTGAGAGCAAGCTCTCCGGGCCCCACCCTGCTGTTTCCTCGACCTGGGAAAGCCATGGCTCAGACTCCATCCTGTCATCCTTTCCCTGGATTCTTGGGAACCACTGTGACCAGGAGATCCCTACAGGAACCTTCACAGAGGCCTGCAGTGCCTTCCCAGGGGTCATTGTCACTCAGTGGACAGGATTCTCTTAGAGGGTGGGGGACTCAGTCATGATTGTGCTCTCTCCTGACCAGGGGGGAAGCCCAGCACCAGCTCTCCCTCTGAACTGTGCAGCACCCTCCCCTGTCCAGCTCTTAACCTGCCAGCTGTCTAGCCATTGGGTTCAGGAGAGTCTGTTGGCTCTACGGCAGGGGAAGGGAGATGGCACAAGTTTTTGTTTTGTTTGTCTGAATCAGAAGCTCCCAGCACGTAGAACCAAAAGGAATTTAGAAAGAACGAGAAGGAAGGGAGAAGAGAAAAGCACAGAAGCCTGCTAGGCTGAGTGCTCTCTGTGCAGCATTTTACAGCTGCACACAGTTACAGTCAGCCCCCCTTGCTCCATACCCCGAGGCCACACTTTTATGTCTTCCCAGCCTGCTCTGCTTCCCCAAAGGGAATATGCGAGACTTTTATTTCTGCCCTTAAGCCCCCTGTTTATTCACTGTCAGCCCATGATGCATTGACTTTCTCCTCCCAGAGAAAAGAGAATCCCAAGTGTCGGTGTGCTCGCCTCCCTTGCTTGCCTGGAAAGCTGCCTCCTTTCACTGCCTGCTGGGCAGCATGACCCCTTCCTCCCGATTTCTGCCCTAGTTTGTGCTCTCAGTTTCCCCCATTCCCTGGGCCCACTCTTCCAGTTTCACCCAACTGGAATCCATTGCCCATACTCCTCCTGGTCACCGGACTATCTTGCTAATAGGGAGACTAAGTCTTAAAGCCCCCCAATGACAAGCAGCAGCAAAACTACCCTGTAGTTCATGGTGAAGGTTGTGTACAGCGTTGCAGATGTAATTCATGCCACTGAATGGTATACTTTAAAACTGGCTAGAAACCAGACACACTGCCATCTGGTCGATTCTGACTCACAGTGACCGGGTAGGACAGGGAGAACCGCCCCCATAGGGTTTCCAAGGATGCACATCTGTACAGACCACGACTGCCTCATCTTTCACCCTCAGCGCCACTGGTGGGTTTGAACCACCAACCTGCAGTTAGTAGTGGAGCACTTTAACCACTGTACTTCCAGGGCTGCCTTAAATGACTAAAGTGGTGGGCGGGGAAAACAAATAAGGAATCTATAGTGATAGGAATCAAAAGAGTGGTCATCTGTCGGCAGAATTGATTGTGAAAGGGCATACAGGAGCCTTGTAGGATGCTAGAAGATTCTGTATCTTGATGTGAGTCTATACACACCTCTAAATTCACTGACTGAGCGGGACATTAAGACGAGTGTATTTCACTCTCCGTATGTTAGACCTCAGTTTCAAACAAGCAAGCAGAACACAACCTTCAGTGGCTCCTCATTTCCACAGGTTAAAATCCACACTCCTTAGGATAGCCCACAGCTTCCTGTGGATTCCCTCCTGTGGAGTCCTGAATCCAGCCTCCTGGCCCTGCAAAACCCATGCTGCCCCCGCCCCCCTGCCCCACCCCAGGGCTATGATGCTATGACACCGTAGCCTTTCTACTCACTGAAAAAAAGTTGTCACCCGGTTGCTTCCAGCTCGACGGCGACCCATGTGTGTCAAAACAGAACCGTGCTCCATGGGGTTTGCAGTGGCTGATTTTGGGGAAGGTCGCTCCTATGGCCGAGCTTCTGCATCTGCATTACCTCTGATCTCAGACGAGCATGTTAATCTAGTGTGTGTGACCCCCCTCTCTGCCCCCTCCCAGAGTCTGACTTGATCCCGAACAAAGTGTTGCAGCTGTGTGCATGGGGCCCCCCCAGCACTGGGCTGTGACCATTCAGCTCCATCACTCCCCTAGTGCTTCATACAGTGGCCAGTACAGGGTGGGGGTGGGGGCAGCCAGTGCCTGCTTTGAGTTGCACTTTGACATTCCTTTCTCTGGCCCGCAGGCTGCGTCCTCTCAGGGAGGAAGGCTGTTGGGCCATGGCGGTTTTTGATACCCCGCAGGAAGCCTTTGGCTTCTTACGCCCCGTCTGTGTTCAGCTCACAAAGGCGCAGACCGTGGAGAACGTGGAGCACCTGCAGGCACAACTCCGAGCTGTCGGCGACTCTGCCCTTCAGGAGCTTCAGCAGTACGTCCTCTTTCCTCTGCGGTTTGCCCTGAAGACCCCAGGCCCCAAGAGAGAGCGCTTGCTGCAGAGTGTGGTGGAATGCCTCACGTCCGTCCTCTCCGCCACATGCGTGAAGGACCCCGGACTTCTCCAGGAGCTCTTCTCAGAACTCTCAGCCTGCCTGTACTCACCCGCCTCCCAGAAGCCCGCAGCTCTGTCCGAGGAGTTGAAATTGGCCGTCATCCGCGCACTCAGCACGTTAATGCACTCGGCCTACGGGGACATCATTCTGGCTTTTTACCAGCCCGCCCTTCTGCCTCGCTTGGGGTTTGCCGTCTCTTTGCTGCTCGACCTCACAGAGCAGGAGAAGTCAAAGGAAATCAAAACTGCTGCGGTGCATTGCTTGCAGGTACTGCTCTTGCAGTGCGAGTGTGGGGACCATCCGAGGTCCTTGGATGAGAGTGAGCAGATGGAGCTGGGAGATTTGTTTGCTTCCTTTTTGCCGGGAATCTCAACTGCACTGACCAGGGTAATCACTGGAGACTTCAAGCAAGGCCACAGCACGGTGGTATCCTCCCTCAGGCTCTTCCACAAGACAGTGGGCTTCATTATGGCCGATGAACAGCTCAGAAGAATCTCAGGGGCCCAGGCAATGCCTGCAGTTGAACAGAGAGTAGCTGAGCTGATGATTCACAGGAAAGCGGACTGGGTTAAAAACACAGGGGCTAAGTTGGCGCTCCTTCTTAAAAGGATCATTGAGTGTGTCTCCATCCACCCACACTGGAAGGTGAGGCTGGAACTGGTAGAACTTGTGGAGACCCTTCTTGTGAAGTGTGGTCAGTCTCTGGTCGAGTCCGCCAGCCCCCTCCTGAAGGCTTTGGTGAGTCTGGTGAACGACGAGAGTCCGCAAGTCCAGGTCCGATGCAGTAAAACCCTGAGACATTTGGCGGATCAGCAAGTAGTGGTGGGCAGCAGGGCCTTCACCGACATCTTGTCAGAGAACCTACACTCCCTTGCTACATCTCTTCCTCGCCTCATGAACTCCCAAGATGACCAAGGAAAATTCTCCACGCTCTCCTTGCTACTTGGTTACCTGAAACTCTTGGGCCCCAAAGTCAACTTGGTCCTCCACTCTATGGCCCATCTGCAGCGCCTTTCCAAAGCACTTATCCAAGTGCTCGAACTAGATGTGACGGACGTCAAAGTCGTGGAGGAGCGCCGGTGGCACACCCACGAGCTAAGTGCATCTCCAGAGGCCCCTGCCACTGCCCGACCGTGGAACCATGTCCAGAGGCGGTACTTCCGCTTCTTCACTGACGAGAGGGTCTTCCTGCTCTTGCGGCAGATCTGCCAGCTCCTCGGGTGTTATGGGAACCTCTATTTGCTCGTGGACCACTTTCTGGAACTGTACCGTGAGTCTGTAGTCTATCGAAAGCAAGCTGCCATGATCCTCAATGAGCTAGTTATAGGGGCTGCTGGCCTGGAGGTTGTTGTGGAGGGTCTTTATGCAAAGTCTCCTCAAGCAAGCCCAGAGGACCTGAGAGACAGCATCACTGCTGTCCTGGAAGAATACACAAGCCAAGAAAACTGGTACTTGGTTACCTGCATCGAGGCTGAGGAGATGGGAGGGGAATTCACAGTGCAGCCGCCAGGCCTCCCCGCCATCACATCTGGCGCCCACACCTGCCAAGTTGCCTCTTTTCAGGCTGGATCAAAGCCAAGCCCCACTATTTGCACCATGAACAGCAACATATGGCAAATATGTATTCAGTTGGAAGGGATTGGCCACTTGGCATACGCACTAGGACAGGATTTCCGTTTGCTCCTGATGTCAGCCCTCTATCCCACCCTGGAGAAGGCCGGGGACCAATCCCTGCTCATCAGTCAGGCAGCAATGGGCGCCATGATGGACATGTGCCTGGCCTGTGGCTATGACTCCCTGCAGCACCTGATCAATGACAACTCCGACTACTTGGTGAATGGGATCTCTTTAAACCTGCGCCACCTGGCTCAGCACCCTCACACCCCAAAGGTCTTGGAAGTCATGCTGCGGAACTCGGATGCTAGCCTGCTTCCTTTGGTAGCAGATGTGGTTCAAGATGTCCTGGCCACCCTGGACCAGTTTCACGATACAAGAGCTGCTTCCTTTGTCGGGGTTCTGCATGCCCTGCTGGCTGCCTTAGGTACAACAAGAGACCTCTAATGCCGGTGTGGGGACAGGGCTCCTAGCCTAGCTTGCCTAAACTTATTTTCTCCATTGTTTGTGGTTAATGTATGGGAGATCTTCTTTAGATAGTTGCCTATTAGTCCCACATGTGATGGTAGGGTTCCTTTCTTCTTTTTACACATAATGATAACTCCTGTTTATTGAGCTCCGTTCCTGACAGCCAAAATCTAAACATTATTATTATTGTACTGATAAGAAAAATAGGACTTCAGTGAGATCCTACCGACCCAGGGTCACACAGTTAATAAGAGTAAAGTAAGGATTTATGACAATTTGAAAAGACTTTAAAGTTCTTTCCAATGCAAACTGCTTTTAGTGTTACTTAGAGTTAGCAGTGCTAATGAAGAACATGACCAACATGAGTTATTCAGACCACGGGCTGTCCGCAGCAGTACTACCCAATCGAACTTTCTGCTATAATGGAAGTATCCTATAGCCATGCACATGTAGTCGCTACCAGCCACAGGTGACTAATGGCTGTTGGGTTGAGCAGGTCTGGAAACTTCCTTTTAACTTTTTGATTATTTTAAAATCATTTTATGGGGGTTCTTACAGCTCTTGTAACAATCCACACATCCGTCGTATCAAGCACATTTGTACGTAGGTTGCCATCATCCTTTTCAAAAAATTTTCTTTCTACTTGAGCCCTTGGTATCAGCTTCAGTTTTTTCCTCCCTCCCCACCTCTTGAACCCTTGTTAAATGATAAATTATTATTATTTTCATGTCTTACACCATCCGCTGTCTCCTTTCAACCATGTTTCTGTTGTTTGCCCTCCACCACCATCCCTTATCTTTCTGAGTGCATACATTGGGTGACTCTTCCCTCTCCCTCCCTTTGGTCCTGTTGGAAGAGCTAGCCTCCAATGAAATGACAATAATTGGAACTAGAAGGAAAAGACTCCCTCCACTGAATGAATGAAACTTTTGAATGTAAAAATAATGCCGGGTGGCTGGGGTGTTTTTGTTCCATAGCCAATGTCATTTTCATCATTCATTCATTCATTCATAAAATTGAGTACTAGGTAATAAGGATTCAGCAATGAACAAAACGGACAAACTCTCCAGGAGGCTTCCTGCTACTCGGGCAGAGGTGATAGGTGCAGGAACAAAGCTCGTTTCCCATTCCGATCAGCGCCGCAGAGAAGGGAGATGGCTTGATGGAAGAGAGACAGGGGCAGACTCCTTTCAATTGGGTCAGGGAGGGCCTCTTGGAGGACGTGGCACTGGGGCTGAGAAAGGCCTCCCAGATTGTTTTCCTGTGGTGGCACAGTGGTTGCTCATTGGGCTGCTAACCAGTAAAGTCCACAGTCTGAAACCACCAGCCGCTCTCCAGGAGAAAGATGGAGCTTTGTACTCCCATAAATAGTTATAGTCTCGGAAACACACGGGGCAGTTCTGCCCTGTCCTATGGGGTCACTATGAGTCGGCACCAGCTTGATGCCAGTGAGGTTTTTTGTTGGAAGAATATGCAGGTAAAGAGAACAGCAGGTACTTTGAAAGACCTGCAGGAAAGGAAAGACTGTAATCTTTGGAAATAGAAAGGAAGCCTGGGACATGTACAGAGGGGGGAGGGGGGCAGTGATATCAGTGAGGTTGGAATGACAAATCCTGTAGGGCATGTAGACCAAGGGAAGGGTTTGGATCTTATCTAGTGAGCAGGGGCACTTGGGTTCTGAGTGAGTCACTAGGAGTCAGCAGTGAACCAGATGGGCCTGGTCCCTGTCTGCAGGGACACTCCTAAAGATAGCCGCTAGCTGCTTGTACATCTTAGACTGTGACCGGCATCCCTGGTCCAAATACACTTCAGACTTGCTCCCTTGAAGAACTGTACATATTTAAATATAAAGAATTCGAATAGATATTAAAAACCAAGCCCACTGCCATCAAGTCAATTCTGACTCCTCGCCCTACACGGGGTTTCTGAGACATTCTTTACGGGATTGGACAGCCTGCTCTGTCTCCATCGCAGCAGTCGGTGGGTTTGGACCTCAGAGTTAGCAGTCCAGCACTTACTACCAGGGCTCCGTAAATACCCCTTCGGGGAGAAACCTTAATTGGGGCACTGACAAATGAATTGATTATTGAATTGCCTACGTCCTTGGTCACCTCTAAGGGTGGGAAGTTGAAAAAAATCCCATGTAGCATTCTTTTCAATCAAGGATGTTTGGGTGGGATGTTTCCATTGCAGAAAGAACAATGAGTATGGTTAGATTTGACAAGCGCATCCTAGGAAAAGCAGTGTAACTGGGCAAAGCTTTTCTGAAGGTTTTAGAGCAGTGGCTCTCAATCTTCTTAATGCTGAGACCCTTTAATACAGTTCGTCATGTTGTGGTGACCCCACAACCATAACATTATTTTCGTTGCTACTTCATCACTGTCATTTTGCTACTGTTATGAATCTGGCAACCCTGTGAAAGGGTCATTCGACCCCCAAAGGGTCATGACCCACAGGTTGAGAACCGCTGTTTTAGAGTGACCCAGAGCCCCCTTGTACTTTGAATAATTATCAGTACCGAGGGGAGGTGGTCCATACAAACTCGAACCTAAGGAGCCACTTCAATGCTGGCATGTCCGCTCATCCTCCTTGCATTTACCCTTGGCTTAATGGTGCCTTTCTTTTTGGATGGAAGTGGAGTCTGGTCTTACAGGACTTCCCAAAGAACCCAGGAAATGTGTTAGGGAATGGAATTACCACAGACACAGCCTGCCACTGTGCACTGATGAAAAGTAACACTAGATGCCACGGCGAAGGCATGCATAATCAGTTACATTAATTCTGGGTCTTCCAAACAAAGACTGATGATTCTTAACAATAAATCTACAAGGTAGCTTTGGAAATGAGATGGTGCCTTGAACTCATGTGCCTTGGAAATAAGAGGTTGCTGTTGTGTGTTCTTTTTTAAGGCTACATCGTATTCTGTTGTGTGGCCGTCATAATTCATGGAGCCAGTCTTTTCTTGGGGAAGAACAGCCCTGGTGAAATAGTGGATTAAGAGTTGGGCTGGTAACCACAAGGTCAGCAGTTCGAACCCACCAGCTACGTCTTGCAAGAAGGACGAGGTTTTCTGCTACTATGAAAAGGTACAGCCTCAGAAACCCACAGGGGCAGTTCTACTCCAACGGGGGCTCTGCATTGAAATTGGCTCGATGGCATTGAGTTTTGAATTCTGGTTCTTGGTGAACGTTTTGTTGTTTCCCATCTTTTGCCACCACACACACACACACACATACACACACACACACACACACACACACACACAAAAGGCAGTGAATCCCTTTCTATGGTCATTTTTTAAAATGTCTATGTATAGTTTACGTTCCTAAAAGTAGGAACTTTTCCATTTCATTTGTAATAGAGTATCAAATTGCTCCCCAAAGAGGTTTTACCCATCTAAACTCACATCATCGAGTTAAGAGAGTGCCAATTTTGCCATGCCTTCCCCCACACCCTCTATTACCAAGCTTTCTGATCTTTGCTAATCCAGTAGGAGAAGAATAGCAGCTTATTAGTGTTTCAATTTGCACTTAGAGCAAGGTTGATCTTCTTTTCAGATGTTTAAAAGCCATTTTGAGCAAATATGTTTTAATGACTGGTACTAGGGTTGACTCTGAAAAGAATCCCTACCAGCCCCTCTAGGTGTGTCCATGCCAGGCTGGGCTGGAACTATATGGTAACAGGAGCCCTCAGAGCACACAGACCATCTGATTTGCATCTGGGGAGGGTCCTTGAGTAAATGTGCCTAATGGGTCCCTCCAGACAGAGACCTTCCCGTACAGTTGAAGGCTCCCAAACATTTGCCCTCTGCTTCTCCTGACTGCCCGTCGTCCGGTGCTGTGCGATGCTCCTTGATAAAAGAGAGATGAGCTGGTGCTAGAAGTTATCAAAGGCTTTTCCCTGCTGTCTGCAAAAGGAGGTTGCTGGACAGAGTGGCGATCTCCAAGCTGCGGGCTGCTTCTTAACCGCTTCCATAAATATTAAAACCAAACTCACTGCCATCGAATCGATTCTGGCTCCTACCCACCCTATAGGACAGGTTAGAACTGTCCCTGTGAGTTTCTGAGACTGTACTTCTAAGGGAGTAGAAATCTTTGTCTTCTTCTTGAGGAGAGGCAGGTGGTTTCGAACTGCTAACCTTGTGGTTAGCAGCCCAACCTGTAACCCATTCTGCCACCAAGGTTCCCATTCTTTAAGTAGGAAGAGCCTTTTTGAAATGCAGCCTTTGAGGGAACCTGGATATACAAGAGAGTTGAACTCAGGACTGCTCTTACTGCAGAAGGCAGAGACCCTGGAGGTGACTGTCCCCTGTGTTGTGGCCCCTGAGACATTGCTGCAGAACCCTAAGGCTCCTCCAGGCACAGTTTGGAACCCCACCCCGGACTCAGAGCTGCCGAGGGTTTCTCCTGCAATGGCGTCATCAGATCCAGGGAACTGCACCAAAGGAGGGCAGGCTTGGAGCAGCCTTCCAGAGCCCTGCCTGTCAGAAACACACCCACCGGAGGGCGTCTGTGCTCAGGGCTCCTTTAGAGCCTTTTTCCTCTACTCAGAACGCTGTCCTTGGTACTTATTCTCCACTCCGGGAGATTTGTTCCCTTTAAATCTGTTGTGAGCACCCGCTCTTATGCTGGGCATACTGGACGTCCAGCGTAGCCCAAAGCCGCCTTTGTGGACACATGGTGAGGCCTTTATCTGAGGGAGAACATGCAACTACATATGTACTGGGACCACAGTTCCATTGTGGAGTTAATGCAAAGCTTTACTAATCCAGTCATTTGTACTGAGACATGAAACAACTAAAACTCACTGCCATCATAGTGACCTTATAGGACAGGGCAGCACTGCCCTGTGGGTCTCCAAGGCTGTGACTCTACAGGAATAGAATGCCTCATTTTTCTCCCATGGAGTGTCTTGTGTTTTCAACCTGCTGACTTTGAGATGAGCAGTCTAACACTCAGCCATTAGGCCGACAGGACTCCTGGGACATGAAACGTGGGTTGGAATTAGCCAGGTATGGACATTGTGAGGCAAGTATTCTGGATGGAGAACAGCATATACAAAGCTTCCGAGAAAGGCTGGCGCATTAGAGGAACTAGAAGTTACAGGGCATGAGGGAAGTTGAGGGTGGAGAGCAGGTAGGGACTGGACTGTGTCGGGGTTGGGAGTGGGGTGGCCTCCCGCAGGCCACAGCAAGGAGCTGATTCTACTCATGAAGTTCCAGTGCGTGTTACTGATGGCACAGGTGACCGTGTGACCCTTTGTTTCTAGCCCAGTGGTACCCAGCCACAGGCCAACCCCCAGAACAGAGTGTGGGGCAGGAGGACAGCCATTGGAGCCGAAGAGCAACTCTTGAGAAGGGACCGGCGGCTACCACCGCCACCACCACCACCACCACCTCCATCACGGCCGAAGATCTGGAACAGTTTGTGCTGAACTACCTCAAAGAAAAGGAGGCGGCCGAAGGAAACGTGTCGGATGTTGATGACGAAGAAGGTAACTGATTTATTCTGATGTCGCTGGTTTCCAAGTAGGTGAGTGTAAAAAAAACAAGAACGCATCCTTGTAGAAAGTTGCTGGTCAGAGAAATTGGCGGGGGCAGGGGTAGATATGCCCACCATGCTCACCTCACATAGCAGCTCTCATTTATTGGGTCTGTGCCACCTTTTTCCAATCTCTCGTTGCCACCTGATTTCCATCTGCTGGCAGCCAGCATTTAAATATATGATGCCCTTTTTGCATTTAGTTCCACCCTTAGTAACACTCTTGCTATCATGTGTTCATAATAATGTTTTAATAGCTCCTGCTACCTACCCAGTCCCCTATGGGAAGTGTAGGCTGCTTGTAGCTTTTCACTTCAACCAACAGCACTGCACCAAGTGATTCTGTGCTTGTAAACTTTTCCTTCTTCTCCTTCTCCTTTTTTGGCACATTTCTTTTTAAATTCCCAGAAGTGGGATTTCTGGGTCAAGGAGATGAACATTATGTTCGGCTTGCCACATTGCCTTCCAGAAAGGTGGTCTCAATTTACACCTCCCTGTCAGCAGTGCAGCACTAATGCTGCTTCCATCACCCACTGCCTTGCTGCCACTGGCCACCACCAAGCCTCCTACTTGCTAAATAAAGGAGGTGAAAACTTGTTATTCACCTCCTTCTTGTTATTTCACCTGGGTGCCTGTAGGGGGTGAGTCTCTCTGCACATGCCCGTTTCCAAACAGCTTTTTTATTTCTTTTTAAGATCGTTCTATTGAGGGCTCTTATAACAATCTATACATCTATTTTATCAAGAATATTTCTACATGTGTTGTCATCCTTATTTTCTAAACATTTAGCCCTTGGTATCAGCTCTTTTTATCCTCCCCCCTCCCTCCCCCCCCCTGCCCCGCCCCCGTGACCCCTTGACAAATTATAAATTATTATTATTTTCATACACTGACCACTGTCTGCCTTCCCCCACGGTTTCTCCCCACCCCACCCCTTCCTCTCCCTACCTTCCCCCTACTCTCCTGGTATCACTACTCCCATTTCTGTTCCTGAGGGGTTTATCTGACCTGGATTCCGTGTGTGTCCTGAGCTCTTATCTCTACCTGTCTACATGCTCTGGCCTAGCCTGCAGGATTGGGGTCATGATAGTGGGGGGTGAGGAAACCTCAAAGAACCAGAGAAATACTGTGTTTCATCGGTGCTATAGTTCACCCTGGTTGACTCATCCCTTCTTTGTGACCCTTCTGTGAGGGGATGTCCATTGTTTACAGATGGGTTTGGGGTTCTGCTCTGACCCCCTTCGTTCTCAACAATGTTTTTTTGTTTGTTTTGGGGGATCTTCTGATGGCTGTCCAAACAACTGTCTTATGCCCATTATCTATTCATCCGTTTTGACCTTTTGTTTGTTGGTGGGGAGAAATTTCCATGTTTTCCTTACCAATTTATATGATAAAGTGAAGGGAGCTCAGACTAGTGGAAGCTCTGGCCTGTTGTTTTATTCACAAGCTCAATCTGGAGCTTCAGGTCACGGAAGGATTAATAAATTATTAGACTCTCCTCTGCAAATATAAAATGCCAAGTCATAATGAGCTTGGTGGTCTCGGAACTAACCTAAATCGAACTGAGGCCCAAATTAGTTTGTTAAGTTGGAACTGAGCAGATTTCTCTCTCTCTCTCTCTCTCTCTCTCTGCATTCTCTCTTCTGAAACTCTTGGGGGAACTGAAGCTGTACTTCCAGGATCACAGGAAAGAGGCAGCTCGAGACAGCTAAGTGCAGCCCATTCCTTCTACCAGAAGGAAGTATCACAGGGCCCAAGAATGACGTAGGCTGCGCTGAGTCATTGCCTTCCCCAGAGACAGCTTTCGGATCAGAAATCTGTCTAGCTTTTTCTTCTCAGGTTTGCTCCTGGAGCCAAACCAATACTAATTGGGAATGACACCACTCACCCAAACCTGGAAACCCTGAAGAAGTGGGGGGAGGCCTGATCCCTCCTAACCTGGCTCTGCCACTCCTTGTGTGAGATTTGCGCCTGGCCAGCAAATCCATGTTTTCCTGATTATAATCTTCTGGTTCTCGTTGATGCTTGCTGAGTGCAGCCTGAATGAAACAAATCTTTTTCTCAGTAACATCCCTCAAAAACATCCCTCAAATAACGTTCTGCAGTAGGGGCACCCAAGCAAAACACACACACACACACACACACACACACACACATGACTTCTCATTCTACATGCTTGCCTCATGCTTGCCGTCAGAGAATTGGGTGGGTGTTGGTTTGACATCGGTTTTTGTTTTCACAGAAAGCACCTTGTGTGGCTGGGGGCCCTTCTCCAAGAAGCCCGGGCATCCCACACATGCACTTCCATGGATCTCAGCAGCATCTGTTAGAGACAAGTGCCGCTGCTGCCCTGAGATTCCAGTTCCCAATCAGAAGAAACCAAAGTAGGAAAAAGGGCAGAGAGCAGTGCTGAGAGCTCTGGACATGAGTGCAGCTGGAGGCGGGGTTTCCAGGGGAGGGGCGGCGACCTGGGTTTCTGCAACTGGCAGGCCTTTTCACGCCACTTTGTATATTATATTTTTGTCATTCTTGTTGAGAATGCGCATAGCAGAGCAGACACCCAGACTACAGTGTACACAGGAACAGTTGGGTGACACTACTTTCATGGGTGCTACCCGTTCCCATCCCCCTCCTCTGGGTGGTTCCTCCCCCACTGACTGAACTCACTACCCACAGCCTCCTCTCTGATCTCCGAGTGTCTGGCCAGTTTATCCTACATAGATAGTTCCTAAAAGAACATACTGTTCAAGGTAGATGGTCTTTACTAGTGAAAATGAATGATTGTTTGGTTATGTGTGATAGATATGTGTGTGTGTGTATGTACATTTCTCTGTACTTTTGTTTGTTTTACTAGAAAGTATTTTCCTTGCTCACTGTTTTACATAAAGATAAACAATTTTACATTAAGTTGATTTACTGTGAAAGCTTATTACACAAGCACCATCAGAACGCATTGCAAAGACATGCCTATCTGATGACTTCTGTGACCAGCTCATTCATTATTTATCTTTGATGTTGTTGTCATTTAAAAACTTGCACCTCTGGTGGACTGCCCTAGGCAATCAGAGAGAGATGATGGCTGGTGATGTCCATCTCACTCAGCCTCTGGGCCAGCACGTGAGGCATGTAGACTTCAATCCCTGTTTTCCAGACGAGGGACCAGGATACAAGAGAAGTGGCTCATTGGTTGTAGAGGCAGGACTGAAGCTAGCCTCCTTACTGCGCCCCAGGCCTTGTGCACCATCCTGCGCTGTGCTGGGATTGCCTATCAGGCAGGGATGAGCCCAGCCGTATCCTGGCCATCCCGAGATCTTGCTGGGCAGGGGGACATGAGGCGGTCTGTGGAGCAAGGGATCCCAGCCCCACCCCAGCTAGGCGGAGTTCCCTAAGGCCCGTATGGTTCTCACTCCTGCTTGAGGGTGGGGGGTGCGCAGAGGAATGAACCAAGAGGAAAGGCAGGCAAGGGAACAGGGGCTTCCCAGCCTTGGAGCGCCAAACTAGAGCGCTGCCTCTTGCACTTTTATACTCACTATTTATTCATGGAAATTTAGAGCACACTGAAGAGAAGAGGGGTCAAGGGCAGAGAAAGCCACCAATTATCTTAAGATCTGTCACTGCTGTTTTGTTGTTCTTCCTCCCATGCAAAGAATTTGCAGGGCCTCCTGCTGTGTGTGCAGTTTTGTCCCCGATTGAGCACTACGTTGTTTCAGAACCCTTTCCCCATGGGCTTAAACTCTTGGGCATCACACACCGCAGGACCTTGTTTGTCCCCCACCATGGGTGGGTGTGCAAGGGGTTACCTAAGCATCCCCTGGTGTGAGCTGTCAGGAACATCGGAACCCCATGACCAGCCTTCAGACAGGTCCTGAGGACCCCTCCCTAGAAAGTGTCCTCTGGTGGGCCCTGTGCTGAATCCGAGCGTCAGCGACCAAGGCACAGGGCACATCTCTCCCGGAACTCTGTCCCTGTGCTCCTTGCAGAGGCGCCATCAGTCCCTCCCGAAGCAGATGAGAGCGACAGGCGTCCCGACATGGAACCACCACTGCCGCCGCAGACCCAGATAGCCAAGGACGTGATGGAGCGCTGCATCCACCTGCTGTCGGATAAGAACCTGAAAATCCGCTTGCAGGTTAGTGGGTGGCCCCTCTGGGCACGGACAGAGCAGCGGGACAGCAAGCACACAGATGAGCAAGCTGCTTCCTGTATCTCCCGGGCCCTGGGTGGCGGGCACAGAAGGGGTTTATCTGTGGGATGGCTGTCTGACATCTCTGTCAGCTTAGCTGCCAAAGAGGACTCTGAGTCCCCTGAATGAAAAGCCTCAGCTCCAGAGCCCCCCTTGAAGTCCCAGGGGAGGGAAAGGCTATTGCTTTCTGAGCTGATTCAATGCAGAATGCAGTCCTAATACTTTGGAGTAGTCATTCTTCCAAGCCCGACACTGGGCCTTATCTCTCACTCTGTTTACATTTTCGTTCTAGGAAAAACACCAACACTTCCCTTAATCTCTCACCCGCACTTCCTGGCAGTTTCCCCAGCAGCAAGGACCTCAAATACACAGGAGTAACTCCAGTAGCAGGATGTGGCTGAGCTAAGGTGGGGGTGGGGAGGCAGGGCTTTCAGAATCACCTGAGAGCTCTCCTGGCCACAGGAAGCAGCACAATCTAGCACCACACAGGAGTCAGACCCATGTCACCTCAGGGACCTAGTTAGCGGTGGGAGCTGAGCGCCTTGCTCACGGCAGGGCCTGGGGTACCCTGCTCCACTGTCTCTCTCCATCCTCCAGGCTGTGTCTTGTAGAATCTGTGCCTCCCAGAGGCACAGATTGGCATTCATTCATGGCTCTGTGAGTGCCTGTGGTTGACACCATGGACTGGCTCCGAATCGGCATCACCCTGCATAGGGTGTCTGAAGCTGCACATCTCTACGGGAGCAGGCAGCCTCCTCTTTCCCCACGGGGCCTCGTGATGAGCAGCCCAGTGCTTACCTGATAGTGTTGCCAGGACTCCTGCTCTGCTTTATGTGTTGAGAAAACTCCTTACATCCTTTAAGAATCTGCACAAGCGCCTTACTCTTTATGGCACTGTGACAGCAGCTGGCTGCCTACCATAGTCAACAGGAGCATCCACTTTGGAGTCAGGCCTGCCCACCAGGGAAAACGAGTTGCTGTCAAGTCAACTCCAGCCCAGGGTGACTCTGGGTGTGTCAGAGCGGCTCTGGGTTCCATGGGGAAGCAGATTGCCTGGCCTTCTGAGGTGGTCTCCAGCATCCAACTTTCCAGTTCGCAACCGCGCACATCCACCATTTCTCTCTTCCACCCAGAGTCTTTCAGACCTGTGTATTTGAGTTCAAATTTTGACTCTGCCTCCTCCACAGCCATGTGGCCTTGAGTAAGGTCACTCAGCTTTGGGGACCTCGGTCTTTCATCCATAAAATGCAGAGAGTGGTACCTACCTCACAAGGTGACTTATTGTAAATATGAGATCTTTAGCATGGCATATGGCCTCTACCCTCATTTATTCACGGCATGCTAGGGCGTCTGCTGGTGAAGCACTCAGCTGCTAACTGGAAAGGTGGTGGTTGGATCCTCCACAGGGGAAAGGCCAGGTACCAACCAGCTCTCCTGTAAAACTGCAGGCTGGGAAGCCTGTGGGCAGTTCTGTACCACATGGCATTGCTGTGAGTTAAAACGGACTTGACAGCCCCCACCAACAACTGGTCCGGAAGAGCGTGTTGCACTTATAAACAGCAATGGGCGCGGACATCACTGACCTTCTCTGGCTTCCCTGTTGCCACAGGACAAGAGTCAGACGGGCCTCCACACTCCATCCTTCGTTACCTATCCCGACACCAAACATCCCTCTGACATCACTCTGCATCTAGGCTGGGTTCCACAGTTCATTGCAATGGTCACAGAGCTCAAAGAGAATACTCAAAATTAGGGGGTTTATTAGGGAATCAGTAAGTTACCACAAGTCAGGTTCAGCAAACAGTAAGGATATAGTCATTGGTCTGCTCAGCCAGGAGCCACGTCTCGCTCTGGTCCTCAATCTTTTAGCCACATGGTCCTTTGACCTCTGCCTCTGTGGGCCAGGAAGCCAGTCTGCCTGTCACTCTGTCCCACCGTTCTGTAGCCAGGGGCCAGGAGAGGCTGTAGTCTCAGTGCTGAGCTTCTGATGCATCTGGTCTAGGCCACCTCTGCCCCTTTAGACAGAGCTCTCCAATGTGGTCTCCCTCGACCCGACCCTCGGGCTTTCTCCCTCTGCCGCTGCTTTAAAGATGGCTCATACTCACAGTTGGGGTGGGGTGGGGCTGGTGGTGCATGGACCAGTTCCCTCTGTTAGTGTTACATGTGTGTTTGCATAGTCCCACCCTATCATTTGATGGCAATGACGGCAACTTGGGTAGAAGAGTCATGTTCAGAACTTGCACTCCATTCCAGGTGTATCAAGGGGGACGAGGCTGGTCTGGCTCCTGCCTCCATGGTACTTCCTGTCTAGAAAGGCCTCACATAACCCCACTTCATAAGTTGAACAAGTGCTATAAAGGCAATAGACAAATTCTCTGATAGAAATCATTCAAACCTCTGTCTAGGAGGAAGTACAGCCAGAACGCACCCTGGAGTTCAGGGTGGTGTGCCTTCTTCTCATGTACTGTGGGCATGCTATCAAGAGCGACCAGGGTCTGGAGAAGGACATCCTGTCTGGTGAAACAGGGTGAGCGGGAAAGGAAGACCTTTGCCCAGAGGAGGTGACACTGGCTGCAACGTCAGGCTGAGATAGAGCAATGGCTGTGCAGAGGGCACGGGACTAGCCGCGTTGTTTCCTTCCGTTGTGCGTCAGGTCATATGAGTCAGCACCAACTTGACAGCACCCAACAACAACAAAACAGAAAGCAGGAGTTCGCCCTGTGCCAACATGTGCTGGGAGCCTGCTCTGTACCACACCCTGTGGAATAAGACACGGAACTTGTACTCTGACTTAGACCAGGTCGTCAGAGAAGGCCTCTCGGTGGTGGTGACATTGAACAAAGCCAGAAGAAGCGCTGTGCCAGCAGAACATGCACCTTTGAACCACTGCAGTGTACTGACGTGCCCGGCAAGTGACACACTGCAAGTTCAAAGCCTGTCTGGAAACAGCCCTTTCCACTGCCCTCCTCCCCTGCTCTGCTGCCCGTGGGCAAAAGTCCCTCTCGCTGCCATCCAGTACATGTCAGCTCATAGCAACACTGTCAGGGTAGAGCTGCCCATGGGTTTCTGAGACTTTCAACTGTTTCACAAGAGTAGAAAGCCTCATCTTTCTTGCAAGGAACAGCTGGTGTTTTCGAACTGCCAACCTTGTTGGTCACAACCCCACACATAACCACTTTGCCAACAGAGCACAGGGTAGGCATCCAATAAGGACTTGCCCTTAACGATGGAGGCCTCCAGGCGGTCTGTGACGCACATGTGCACCTTCACCTACTGCGTGATGTCTG